CGGAAGTGGTGCTGTGGCTCAAGTGGTAGAGCACTAGCCTTGAGCTGAAGAGCTGAGGGACAGCGCCCAGGCCCAGAGTTCAGGCCCCACAACCGGATTCTCCTCCCTCCCTCCAAAAAAGAACAGGGCAGCCTTTCCAGATCTATCATTAAATCCTTGAGAGGCAATGGGAATCCTTTGGAATGAAATGTGCACCTAAACAAGGATACTTGAATACAGCAAGCATTTTTCTAATACAGCTTGTGTTACATAGACAATGGTGGGGATGCAAATAATCACTTATCATACCAATGAATCTCGTTCTCTAAGTGAAAAAGAATTAAATAGAGAATATTATCTCCTTTTCCGTGTTTGCCTCTTCAGTTGGAGACTTGGGAAGATGCGCTTTCCGGCCCTGCGAGGAGGGGCTGGCCCAAGAGCAGGGTACCTTTTCATTGCCCGACACTATGATGGCGCCGTTGTAGGAGGGATCGTCCACGCCAGTTCCAGTTCCCGATTTGTCCACCTCCAGGGCGATGTTCTGGTGCTCCACAGAATGGAGGAAGTCATCAATGCTTGCCCCTATGGTGCAGTGTAATGTATTAGTTGTTTCAATGCTAAAAACATCGATGTCAAATTACTGTGATCTGAATTCTCAGGGCATTTTCCCACATCACAACGTGCTGGCTGTTGTGAATTAAGAATACATTCCTTTCTCAAGGACTGAACTTCATCATAAGTTCATTTGCTTAGGATCACGCAAATCATTTTTAGCAACTTATTTTTTATCATAGATTTATTGTGTAGAATCTTGCAATGAACAACTGTAACCAATATGGGTGATGTCTACTAATTAACCATAAAACTTTCTATAACTCATTTTAGGGACTGCTACATTGTTGATTTTTGAATTCTTTCCTTTCTCTTTCCCTTCACTCCCCTCTCCTTCCCTTCCCTTCCTATCTTTCTGGTGGTGTGGGGCTTGAATTCAGGGCCTAAGCACTTTTGTTCAAGGCTAGTGCTCTACCACTTAGAGCCACAGCTCCATTTTGGGTTTTTGAGTGGTTGATTGGAGGTAAGAGACCCACAGGGACATTTCTGCCCAGGCTAGCTTTGAACCTTGATCCTCAGATCTCAGCCTCCCAAGAAGCTATGATTACAGGCATGAGCCACTAGTGCCTGGTTCAAATTATTTATTTATTTTTTATTTTTTTAATTAAAAAATTATTTTGTAGTAAAGATGCTGTACAGAAGGGTTACAGTTACATGAGTAAGGCAATGAGTAAGGCAATAAGTAAGGGAATGAGCACTGTTACCCCCTCCTTTGCTGTTCTCCCACTATCCCTTCCCTCCCCCCTTCCCCCTCCCCATCTCCCCGAAGTTGTAAAGTTCATTTCCAATATACTGTTTGTGGGTATCATTGTTGCATTGGGTCATCCTGTGTCCTTGTTTCAGCATTTTGTTATTCCCCTTCTCCTCCCCAAATTAGACAAATGTATATACAAGATGCAGGGTACCAAAGTCAAGTACAGTGATAACAGGGGATATACCATAAGGGGAAGAACACACAAAAGAAACCAAAAAATCACATAGTACATTAAAAACAACAACAATAAAGAAAGATCTCTTGTGCCAATATCTTGGGGTTCATTTTGCTTAGCATCATTTTGCTTATTTGGTCATATGTACATAGCTTTTGAGCTTTTCTGCTCATCTGATAAAATTATTCTAGACATATACTAATTATTGCAAATGAGGGAAACCATGGGACCTATATTTCTTTGTGTCTGGCTTACTTCATTTAGTAAGATTTTTTCCAAGTCTTTCGATTTCCTAACAAATGAAGTGGTATCATTCTTTCTGATGGAAGCATAGAATTCCATGGCAAAGGACAAAGCTAGTAAGATCAATAGAAAGCCCATGGACTGGGAGAAGATCTTTACTAGCCATACAACAGACAAGGGTCTCATATCTAAAATATACTTAGAACTCAAAAAAATTAAATCCTCCAAAAACAAATCCTCAAAGAAACAACCACACCATTAAGAAGTGGGCTAAAGACTTAAAGAGAGACTTCTCTGAAGAAGAAATAAGAATGGCCAGTAGACACATGAAGAAATGCTCAACTTCTCTGGCCATAAAAGAAATGCAAATCAAAACAACACGGAGATACCACCTCACCCCAGTTAGAATGGCTATAATCAAGAACGCTAATAACAACAGATGCTGGAGGGTATGTGGCCAAAAGGGAACTCTACTGAACTGTTGGGAGTGTAAACTTGTTTAACCACTTTGGAAAGAAGTATGGATGTTCCTCAAAAGACTACACATAGAGCTCCCCTATGACCCAGCAATCCCACTTCTGGGCATTTACCTCATTGATCACAAAAAAGGCAATACTAAAGCTACCAGCCCAACTATGTTTATCTCAGAATTATTCACCATAGCTAAGATATGGAACCAACCCAGATGCCCCTCATTAGATGAGCTGATCAAGAAAATGTGACACGCACACACACACACACAATGGAATTTATTTCTTGACACAGGAAGGGAGCTTCTAATATGTGGACTTCCGCAGTCCCTCTCCCCTGAACAGCAAGCATAACCGCTAAAATACTAACTAAAAACAAAACAACAAAAATTCCATGTAGTCAACACTTCTTGAAACTTCCTCAAGCATCTACAGAATATGAAGAAATATAGATCCAAGGAAATCTACTAAAATTTGGTAAGAACACTTGTCTGCTCAGTAAGCACAGAAGATACTCAACATTATCAGCCACCAACAAAATGAAGATTAAAAAACTACAAGGTATCATGTGACACCTGATAATGGGTATGGAAAACAAGCAGGAAGTAGTGTGGGAAAAGTTGTGCAGAAATTTGAGCCCTCATAAATGGCAGTGTAAGCACACCATAGTATATCCAATTTGAAAACAATTCGGTTGGTCCTTAAGGGTCAAACATCCATCATCACATGACTCAATAAATTCCACTCCTAGGAAGACACTCAAAGTCATGAAAATATATTTATACAAAAGGTTATATGTGAACATTAATAGAAGCATTATTCTTAACAATCAGTTGTTGGGAGTATCTATCTGTTGATGAGTGGTAAATAAAATCAATGGGAAGCCTCTGCTATTGTTACTCCCTGAAGGAGAAGAATTCAAAGATGATACAATCAGAGAATTTAAACAGATGGTTGAATGAAATAAACAATGAAGGATGTACAAGTGAAATTCAGTAAAGACATAGAAATCTTTTTTTTAAAGGAAGCAAACTAAAATCTTGGAAATGAAAAGACCCCAATAGCCCAAAATTTTAAAAAACGTAATTAATAGAACAAAACAATTTAAAGGTTATCAGGTTATCAGGCTGAAAAGAAAGCAGAAGAATTTGGTTAGTCAAGAACATGAGGGGAAAAACCCTAAGAAAATATAAAATGAAAGTACAAGCCCTCTTATACAGTCTAAGTTATGGGAATAGAAGAAAGAGAAGATGATATAAAGGCATTGAGAATCCATTCAATAAAATAATAGCAGAAAATTTCCTCCACCTTGAGAAGGAGATGGTCACATATGTGGAAAGGCCAACACCTAATAAGCAAGACAGAAGAAGAACCATCCCTGGATACATTGTAGTTAAAACACTAGACATGCAGAATAACAAAGGGATGTGGACAGTTGGGAAGGAGAAGAGACACATTACAGGAAAAGGGAAGTCCAAGAGAAGAACAGTGATTTTGATAGCATATCAACCTCTAGAATATTAAAATACAGTATTACTACCTCAGGTAGCTACAACATAGATGAACTTTGAGACGCAGTATTACCTGTTTTATTGATGATCAGCAATTGGGTAAGAGGTGCCTGGGGTGGTTGTCCCAGAGCAAGGAAGTACAAATGAGGGGAAAGTTCCCAGGTGTAACTGTTTTGATATATTTTTATCAAGATATATTCCAAAAGAAGAGGACAAAATCCAGCTGCCAGAATCAAGAGCCTACAGAGAAGAAATTTGCCAATGTAAATACACGATCATTTCCTAACATTTCCCATCCCAATCACTGCAGATTGAACTCAGTTCCTGGTCTTGACTTGAGTCACATCCCTAGCACTTTTGTTTGCATTTTGTGTTTGACGTCATGTCTGACTTTGCCTGGGCCATTCTTGAGCCATGATCTTCCTGCCTCTGCCTGTGAAGCAGCTTTCTTATCTTTTGGAAATGTCATGAGATGAAGAAACTGGAGAAATAAACCATGTAATTCTTTGCCTAAATAAGTAATCTTTGTTTCTTAGTGTTTTGTCTTCTCTTCTAAATTGGAGGAGCTAAGATGTAAATTTACCCTTTGGTTATTTCTCTTGCTCTTGCTCATTGGGTCACCTACACTATTTCATGGGATGTACACCCTTTAACTCCCTTCTAGTTTCTGTCTACGCGTTGTGCTTCCGGTCTGATACATTGCTTTTCTGCTGTTTAATTCACCACATTTTAGTTCTATTTTCTTCATGTTACTCATCTTCTTAGATGCCCTGTTTCTTTCAGTGACTCCATGATTTCTTTACTGTCCAGGTTCAAATTCTGAATTATTTCCAACCTTTATTCTCCTGTTTTCTTGATATCAAATAGATGAAAAAATTCTATTACAATTATGTAATAGAATTTATGTTTATAATTTATGTTTTACTTTGAAACCTCTCTCTAGTCCTAATTTATGATTACATCTTGTCTGAAGTCCTGCAAAATGGCTGACATTGTTCTATTCTCTATTCTCTCCAGACTTTGTTATGGAGTATTTCCTAGTTTAATATTAAATTTTTTTCTTAAATCATGATACTATCCCCACCATCTCAAAATTTTGTTTAGGAAATATTTGTCTAAGTCCAATGATATGCCCGCTCGGTTCTTTCTTGCTTATTTAAAACACAGTTTCAAGGCATGGGTGGATAGGCAAGGCCATGGTAGATGGTAATGGGAGGAGATATGTCTTGGGATGGGGATGTTGTGCATGTAGTAGGAACAGAGAACAAAGGAAGCTGGCAGAAACTGTGAGGTTTAGGGAAAGCCAGTAGAATAACCACACAGCCTCTTGACCATGGCACGGACCCTGCCAAAGAAAATTCACATTCCATAGGGGAGGCTCACCTCCATATTATGGATAATTTGTATGGGAGGAGGAAGTGTCATGGGAAACTAAACTGCTTCCACTTTTCCTCTCAAATCCTGTGGAAAACATTGTAAGTTCCCTGTGTCAGTTTCCTCAGAGATAACTATTAAGGCCATAGTCTAAGATGGCTATTATGATTTATCCACAGAGATTTTTGTTTTTTTAGTTTTGTTTTTCCTCTTGTTTGTTTGCCTTAGTTACTTCTGATGCTTTGGATAAAAACATAAAACCTGTGGATCCCTGGTACTCACAAGGAAAGAAGAGCTTTCTTCTCATGCTTCAACTTCAGCAAGCGAACTTTTGCAATGGCACAGATTTGATATGCCCAGAGAGCCACACCGCTGGTCATCTTTCTCATCTCCCGCAGGGAAGAGAGGATGTGTTCCATCTCCATAAGCCTTTCTGTGTCCCCAGCTCTTTCAACTTGTGTGTCTCCCAAAATGTCAGTATCTTCAAAACACAAAAGAGGCGATCCATAAAATCCCACTCAGAAGCAATTCATAAATGCCCACTCGAGACATGTGTCACTGAGCTTCCTGCAGTAGACTGTCCTGTTAGGGTTATGACAATAATTAGAACCTTCTGTATTCTTCTATGGCATGACTGGGTTCTGCCTAGACGTGGAAAGATACCTAAAATACAAATTTCTGGGATAAAAGGAAGAGTAGAAAGGAGATGTGATATCTCTTTTGTATATAGATAATACACTAAAGAAGTGAGATAAAAATGTGGTGTCATCACAACTTGGAAATTTAGTAAAGAAAGCAAATTTTTTTTCAGATAGAGTTTTATGCTACTTTTGCTAGGGGCTGGTTTTGGGCCATAATCTTCCTACCTCTGCTCCCAAAAAGCTTGGATTTCAGGCATGTGCTACCATTCTTGACCTCATATTAAAGACGTTTATCTTATTAGATGAGGGAAGAAAAAGAGTAAGAAGAGTTTCATAAAAGGAGAAGCCATTTGTAGGGGAGAAAATTCCTCTTGCTGTTCTCATTCTTAGGGCAACAAGCAGATGGCAGAAGGCGAAGGTGAACAAAGTCATGAATAAAGGGAAAGTAGCCGGGATTAAACACACTCTGTAGTCACAGGGTCACATGTTGGCAGTTACGATTGACTGTAATCCTGCAGGGTTCCAGTGATAAGATGAAGTTACAGTATCTATGACTTTTTCCCCATGGGGCTGCTTTTTTCTAAGTCTTTGGTAACAGCACACCAGAGGGCAGGAAGGAAAACCTGGGAATCACATGGGAATGAGATGTGGAGTCTTGCATGAGGCATCATCAAGGTATATGGGGGTCTTCATTTGTGTAATACATCAGTTCAACAAGAGCTAGTCATTGGATAAGAAAGCAGGAAGACGTATATTGAAGTAAAATGGACCTTGGGTAGGTCTAAAGCATGTGTATTGTCAGAGAGCAAAGCAGTAGTGTATAGAGAGCTATCATCCAAGATAATGATCAGAGTGGAAAGTTAGCTTTGATTAGTTGATGAATTGGATAAGTGTGGTGGCAGACTGAAAAGCAGGAGTACTTCCCCTGCGGTTGAGAAATTTAGTAACCATTTCTCTACCTCATGGAGAAATCATCAGAATTTTGCTAATGTTTCAGTTCAAAGTCATGCTGAAGAAGAGATCTGATTTTGTCTTTGATTCGCTTAAAGCTGTGATTGAACAAAATGTAATGTAAATGACAAACTACACATCTAGAGGTTAACTGTCTCCCAAAGCCCACACAGCTGTGAAATACAAATTAGATTGATTTATCCATCTGGATTGTCAGCAGCCTGAGGGAGGAAGAGTCAACACCTTTCCTAGGCATTGCTTTTTTATAGGTTGTTTTCCACAGTAATGACCATGGTAAAAGCAGGAAAAATATAGCCCCTACAGAGAAGCAAAAGGCCATCAGAATCTATTACTCTGGGTCATCAATCACATGGTCCTCATGTTGGAATGGACAAATATCTATGATAAAACCCTGTGGTAAGTTCTCCTGGGAAACACAGAAAACATTACTGAACTGATGTAAAATTTCAGTAGAGACACTACTAAAAGGAGCCAATAGAAATATCAGGAGGAAAATAGTATATCAGAAATGAAATTCATTAGTTGGGGCTCAAAGCAGTCTGAACAGAAGAAAAGAAGGTATCTATGAGCTTGAAAGCAAATAGGCAGCTCCCACCCCTGGTGGTCCTGAGATTTTGTGCTTTGGCATTCTACTATTGAGTCACATCTCCAGCTTTATTTTCCAGTATTTAGTTTTTGGGTATGGTCTCACTTCCTACCTGGGAGTATACTTAAGTGTGAGCTCTCCCTACTTTTAGGCCTATTTTTTTTTACCTTGCTAGCATCACAGATGTGTATCATCACATGCAGCTTTCCTCCATGGAGACAGAGTCTTGTGGACTTTTCCATTTTGTGCTGGGCTGGAGCCACAATCCTCCCAATCTCAACCTGCCAGGTAGCTGGAGATGACTGGTGTGTACTATCGCCCCAAGCTGTGTTGAGAGGGTAAATCTCATGTGCTTTTGCCAACACTGGCCTCAAAGCATGACCACTTTACTCCCAGGCTCCCAAATAGCTTATATTATAGACATGAGCCACAGGAGCCCCACTTTCACATTGTCCAGTTTCTAACACAAAGAAAGATAAGGAATGAACGATCTCATCAGAAAATCTGGCATCTGTAAGTCAGTATCAAATGTCTAATCTGTGTGTTCTTTATTACTGGTTGCCAGGGCTTTTAACCAGAAAAAGGGAAATGAACATTCTAAGATGGGACATTCCCAAACACAGGAACACATACCAAACAATGGCAGTTCTAGAAAAGGAAGAGCGAATGGATCAGGAAGTATACACAAAGAAATAATAGCCAAAAATCTCAAATTTGATGAAAAATACTAATCTACACATGCTAATCTACCCATGACATGTGGGATAAATATAAACATATTCATCTCTAAAGATACCACACTCAAACTATCAAAAGCAAAGAACACCACCTTTGTAATAACTATAAACATTTTTAAAAACACCACACAACAAAAAGCAAAGGACAAGAGAACGTAAAAGTAGAGAGAAGAAAACAGCTTTTCATATACAGAGAACTTTAGTAAGGTAATAAGTCCTGCAGGCAGAGGGATGGCACATAAGGTTTATGAAGAAGGAGACTTCAGCTAAATGTTTTGTCTGAGATTTCGGACTATGATGGGATCAGCAAGCCTTACACGAAGGAAAACGAGCTATTTTTCGTGACAAGCAATATTGACAGAGGGTGCATCTCATCTCTGTCCCAAGCTGTCCAAGAACCACCTTAAGCTTGAGACTCCACATTTTAAAGTCACATATTTGAAATGTTGTCTTCTTGAGATATTGATTGCCCTTGAGATGTTGTGTATGATTTGGCTTAGTAATTTTGTGCATTTTATTTACCCAGTTCATCAACTGCGGATTTTCCTTCTAGTTTCAGGAACACTTCATTCAGAGTTGTCATGGATACCCCATAATTCTCAATTCCCAGGCCAGGAGAGTTGTCAAGATCCTTGTACAGTTCTGAAGAATACACACATAGCAATAAATCAAAACAGCAAAGATCATGAAGGAATTTAAGAAGTCTTCAACCTAAAAAGTACAAGCATAGTCAGTGTTACCTGACATTTTAAAATTTAACATTTATAATAAGTAATCTCATTTATATATTATTTTCTGTTTTTCATTATGTGTATGGCTTAAATCTCCCTTCCTTCCTTCCTTTCTTCTTTCCCTCCTTCCTTCTTTCTTTTTAATCTTTTTTCTAATTTTTTGTCAATCGGGGGGCTTGAACTCAGGGTCCGTGGCTCATACCTGTAATCCTAGCTACTCAGGAGCTTGAGATCTGCGTATCATGGTTCCAAGTCAACTTAGGCAAAAAAGCCTGTGAGGCTCTTATTTCCAATTAACCTCAAAAAGCCAACTGGAGCTATGGTTCAAGTGGTAGAATCTAACCTTGGCACAAAAGCTCAGGGACAGTGTCCAGGCTCAGACTTCAAGCCCAAGGACCAGCATAAAACAAAAAAAAAAGTTCTCTTTCTGATAAAAGATGAAAAATAAATACAAGACTGAAGACCAAATAGAGAATGAAGGATTGATATGGGGTTTCTTAGACTAGTAGAAAAATATGATGGTAATAGTTTATTCTTTAATTGAATCACAAAAATATTTGGAACAAGTAATTATTCATAAGGCTATGAATAATGTTTTTGCCTGTCTGGGTTTGAAGGAAGATGGTTGATTAAATGATGCCTAGCCAGGCACCCATGGCTCATGCCTGTGATCCTTGCTACACAGGAGGCTAAGATCTGTGGATCCCAGTTCAAAGCCAGCCCAGGCAGGAAAGTCTGTGAGACTCTTATCTCCAATTAATTATGGTAAAAGCCAAAAGTGGTGCTGTAGCTAAAGTGGAAGAGCGCTAGCCTTGTGCAAAAGGAGCTTAGGGACAGTATCCAGGCCCAAGTTCAAAGCCCAGAACGGGCAATAAATAAAATAAATAGATAGATAGATAGATGCCTAACCGTAAACCTAAACTTTAATTTTAGACAAGCTGAAATTTCACTCTGAGCTGTCTACTTGATCAAGAGTTTCATCTGGAATACTCTAACAACCAATACAGAAAAGATTTATGATTTAAACAGCTAATGGAAGTCACATGCTGATTAAGCTTCACTTTACCTAAATGCTTTTTCTTTTTAAAAAAACCACCAAATTTCTTCTAAATTATAACAATCTTAAAACGTATTACTTAGGATTTAATTAACACGTTGTTTAATGCTTCTAAGGACTTGTGCTCTCTCCATAAAATGTGCCACTGTATGACTATATGGGGTAATTTCATCATACAGATGGCAAAGTTAATTTTCTCCTTTACTCAACCCAGGTCCTCAGAACAGCACCTGGCACTGACAACCTGGGCTAAAACATATTAGCTTGGAAAACCTGATGTTACTATATATATATAAAAAAACTTGACCAAGAGAAATAGTCTTGTGGGTGTTTTACAGACAATTAACCATTTGTGTTCATGTATGGTTGTAAATACTGGAATATTCTGCTATATACTGCAAGAAGAAAGAAGGCTAAGAGGTCTAAAAAAGCCCAAACCTTACAAAGTAATTTAGATGCAATATTTCTCATTCTGTATAAAATCATCATCATTTTACTATTGATCAGGTTTCAATATCTGAGCATATTGTAACCTCAATAAGTGTTGGTTACAAAAATATCTTCATTATTATTTTTAGTGAATAATATTGACATAGTTGACTTCATTACATTCACGTGTATTACCTGGAAACCTACAGGTTGTTTCTAAGGGTAACGTATAGACCAGCTTTCCTTCACTTTCTGCTGATAACTTGGCATTGGGGATGTGCTGTTTAACAAGAGATGTAATGTTTTCCCGAGCACATATTTCCTTCAACTGCAAACTAATATATATGTATATAGAAAAAAGAAAGGCATGTTATTTGACATAGTCTACAATATAATGAAAATAAATAACTCATTTTTATGTGTGGGGGGGAAGAAAGTAAATAAAAACGAGTTGCAAGAAAGGTATTGTGCAGGCATGAAGTAGGGTGACAAAAAGTACATCAAACAAAAGAGGGAAAGCAAAGACTTAGCAATCAGAAACGCCAGTCAGTTTATTCAGGGTTTGGGACATAGAGGTACTTAACTATAGACTAGAAGAAATGCTAAGGATAGCTCAACAATCAACAATGCAAAATTAATAACATTGAAGATTATGTTGCAAGGAAGTTCTATTTGGCTAAGTACATTAAAAGAACAAGGGAGTTTTCATGCCCAACAGATTCAGTTATTTATTTTCTTTACCCAATGCATGTTTAGTAAGTTCCTAGTTATACTACGAACCGTTATACTAGGAACCTAGTTATACTAGGAACCTAGTTATACTAGGAACCGTTATACTAAGTGCTGAGGTACAAGGTGACCAGGAAAGCTTTGCCATGCTCTTATAGCATCATTAAGCCAAGGGAGATAGGAAGTAAAACAGATAGGTAAAATGGTTATCACTGGAAGAGTGTGGGTTTGAAGAATGGGGATCTCTCATTTCAACGTGGTGGTGCTAATTCCAGAACTTTGACTAAGATCGAACTACCACTTAGAAAAGTTTATCCATTCAAAAACACCACAACTATTGTAGAAAACCCCCCAAAACAGATTTATTAGTCATAGTTATAAAGTATACAGTAGATAAACCACCAGTAGTAGCAGTATTTTTAAATGTGTTTGTGCCATTTGAGAAGAATTTTACCACTAGTAACATAGAATACTGGTTCTTCACATCTAGATGTATATTCCATTCTGAAAACGTTTGACCAAATGCTTAAGTCATTTATTTATTCATAAAGCATCAAAAGATTTCATTGAAGGAGTTAGGCACAAATGACCATGGAAAAGTTTTTTCTCTATGGTGGTGAACCCCCAAATAAAAATAAAGATTTCAAGAAGATGTGTGGGGTGTTATGTGGACTTCACGGAGGGCAGGGTGTCCTCCCTTAAAGGAACTTATGCCCTGCATGGAGAAGGTCAGTAACCTTTTTCTGCTGGCAAATACTTTTGGGATTTGAGGATTATTAAAGCTCTGTCACCACACTTGCGCCTTGAAAAACAGTATATAGGCAATATGCAGGAGAATGAGCCAAACTTCTCCAATCAAACTTTACTCACAAAAATAAGAAATAGGATGGATGTGGCTCATGGACCACAGATTTTTTGATCTCTGGTTTAGAAGAACATGTAGTTGTTATGCAATGATTGTGCAGAAACCTTTGAGGTGCCACGAACCCTGGCCAGGATGGTTCCGTTGGAGAACATCATATGATGACATGCAGTATCCTAGGCCATATCTCAGTTATGGTCTATAGCCCTTACTCACAATCAGGAAGTGTTAATATCGTGAAGGAGAAAAGGAAATCAATTCCAGAGTTTAGTTATTTCCAAGAAGAGATTTGAAATGAGTGCTTTGGGGGAAAAACCATATCAAGATGTTACACAGGACTGGAAAAAATAACAAGCTATCCACAAAATATGATTCAAATAACTACGACTTCACCAGGTAGACGTGGAGTCAAGGGGACTTCCAGCCTCAGGAAATGCCCTTCAAATGTGAAGTGCAGGCCATGGTAGGGCATACACAAGGCAGTGCGATCACTTCATCTTAAGTTGAGGATGTTGGCTTGAGTAAGAGAACATAGGGGAATTGCGAGATTTGGGGGCCACACTGGTATTACTTGGCTACCCGGTTAGACTCTGGTAGGCAAAGTGGGATCCTTGAAGGAATTCTTTTGTTGTGATTTTGTATTATCATTATTTTTGTTTCTTTTCAAAAGAATATGTAGCTGAATGCTAGTGGCTCACACTTATAATCCTAGCTACTCAGGAGGCTGACATCTAAAGATCGTAATATGAAGGTGGCCCAAGGAGGAAAGTCTGGGAAACACTTATCTCCAATTAAGCACCGAAAAAGCTGCAAGTGGCACTGTGGCTCAAGCGGCAGAGTGCTAACCTTGAGCAAAAAAAGCTTAGACACAATGCTCAGGCCCCGAGTTCAAGCCCCAGGTTCAGCACCAAAAAGAAAAAAAAAAGGATTAAAAAATAAGTGATATAAATCATAAAAATGAATCAACTAACATGAAAATTAAAAAGCAGTTGAAAACATGGAAGTGGACACTGGACACTGGATTTTAACTTATCAATACCTAGGTTTGATTCTTAGCTCTAACTTTTGTGAATCTAGTGTCTTGGTTTGAATGTTTTCCCCTAAGTGTCTATGCTGGAAATTCAATTCCAACACAGATATTGTGAGCTGAGACCTTTGAGTGTTGTCTGGATCTGACTTCAAGACTAGATTAATGCTGTTGTCATGGGAGTGTTTAGTTACTGCAGGAGTGGGTTCCTGTTAAAATCATGAGTTTGCTCTTCCCTACCCTACCACATGTCTTGTTCTTTCTCCTTCCACTATGAAATGATGTAGCAAAAAGGCTTTTTGCCAGGTGTGGATTCCCCAATCTTCAGAATTGTAAGAAATAGACTTCTGGTGTCTGTGTGTGTGTGTGTGTGTGTGTCTGTGCGTGTGTGAATTACTCAGTTTCAGGTTTTCTGTTACGGTTGCATGAACTGGACATTGTAATCTCATTTGTAGAGTGAAAATAACAAGAATTTCTTTCTCAAAAAATAGATTTAACTGACTTATAGATCTCCTTTATAATAACAATAAAAAATTAAAAATAGATATAAGTAACATAATATGAAATAACACCTCTTCCAATCACTGAGTAAATAGCATCTCAAATACGCTATGATACAAAATAATGATAATAACAAAATGAGGGTGGAAAGGAGACAAATGGGAAAGAGAAGGAAGAGCTAGAGGAATGTAGGCAAGTAGGTTACTTAAGAAACTGTAATATAGGACTTGAACTCACATCAAAAAGAAAAAAAAGAAATTATAGCACCCTGAGCAAGATATGATGAGGGTCGTGCAATGTGTCTTTCAAAAAAAAATTCCTTTATCGATATCTTTACCCAACAATGCATTGTGGATTAATTTTCCATCCCACTTATCTAGACTTTCATTGTAATTGCATATCATATATATTATATATTTATTGAGAATAACATATTCTGAAACACCATAATCTGCTAATCAATACCAGCGATGTATATGTTCTGATTATATCACCCGACAGATACATATATACCCATGTTCAAGTGTGTATAAGAGAAGGTTTTCCCAAGTGTTGGAATGCTTGCTTCAAGTATCATGCTTTAGGCTAGTCCAGGTACTAGTCCTGTACTCCAGCCTCTTCTAGTGGGCCTACCTTAAGTGATATCCAATCCCCCACTTCTTCTTCAAAAACAAAGAAGATCCTGCACACTTCAGCTTCCCTTTTGAGAGGAACACTTTCCTATCTGTAAAAGGAGAAGCCAAGAAGAAAGGTTGCTACCACATATTGCCCGTTCATTTCTGAGAAGAATACAAGTTACCAACTCTTGTGATATAACTTTCAGTCAAATGTTTTGTCATGCTATAAACAAGGTATAATAAAAACTCAGTGAAATTAAAATACATTAGTTTATGAATCTTGGACTGATATTTTCCTGTCTAACTCATTAGGGAGGTTACATTAAGTGCCTATATTTTCTATTATAGAGGAATATCAGATTATCAAATATTAAAAGCAAATTGAATTTTTCAAAATTATTTATCTCAGTTCTGGGTTAAAAAAATGATTACCTTAGAATTCAGTCTTCATAAAAAGTGAGGTTCCAAAATCTTGGAAAGATCAAGGGGAGGGTGACATTGTCCAAAAAAGAAATAGAATCTTTACCTGGTTGATGTAACTGTAACCCCTCTGTATATCACCTTTATGATGACAGTACGTTTTTAAAAAAAGTGCATTTTCTGGAAGAGCCTATTTCTCTGTGGTCAAAGGCTACAATATGTGCAAGATACACTGAGACAGCTAGAGGTAAAAATAAAAATGCCCTGTTCACAGCATTACCAGCCGTTTGGATCATGAGAGTCATTGAGGTGACCAGCTTTCAAAATACAGCAGTTCAGATACCAATCCACAGCTCTCAGATCTCTTGAGTTCTCATCATGATATGAAAGGACCCAGCAGTTACCAGCCAGGATGTCAGCCTCATCCATGAACTGGGTACTGAAGAGGATCACTCGGTCTGCTTTCCGTTCCTTCAGAAGATTCCAGACTCGGTGCCTTGAGATGGGATCCAGCCCGGCGGTTGGTTCATCCAATAGGAAAATCTAGAGAAGGGGTGGTGGATATATACACACAGCATTTTCCCCTAAGGCCACTTCCTCCAGAAAACAAGGAAGAAATGGTATTATTTAGAGGTGGTAAAACATAGTGGTTAGGATTGTGCTCTTACACGGCATGCTTCATGATATGTATCTATGACACCTGCCCTTTGGAATGTGCATATAAGAAGTTTGAACGATGGAGGAAAGGTTCATTCTCTGAAGTTTGAATGCGCCTGTAAATGCCCTCTGACTTACCTGCGGATCTCCTAAGATGGCAATCCCAAAGCTCAGCTTTCTCTTTTGTCCTCCACTCAAGTTCTGAGCCAGGACATCCTGGATATTTTTCATTTCCAATTCCAGCAAAACTCTGTTTACCTAAACAAACAACCAATATATATGTCACACACTAAGATGTCTCACTTTTTTTTTTTAGTCGTTCATGGGGCTTGAACGCTGGGCCTGGGTGCTGTCCCTCAGCTCTTCAGCTCAAGGCGAGTGCTCTACCACTTGAGCCACAGTGCCACTTGTGGTTTTCTGAGTGATTTATTGGAGATAAGAGTCTCATGAACTTTTCCTGACCCAGCTGGCTTTGAACCATGATCCTCAGATCTCAGCCTCCTGAGTAGCTAGGATGACAGGCATCAGCCACCAGCACCCAGCTGTCTCACTTTTTTTTGGGGGGGGGGTCCGGTCATGGGGCCTGAACTGTGGGCCTGGACACTGTCCCTCAGCTCTTCAGCTCAAGGCTAGTGCTCTACCCCTTGAGCCACAGCACCACTTCTGGCTTTTTTCTTTTTTTGCTTATGGGGTGCTAAGGAATTGAACCCAGGGTCTCATGCATGCAAGGCAAGCGCCCTACCACTGAGCCACCTTCCCAGCCCTCTCACTCTTTTTTTAAAATTCATGAGTCCTAGGCTGTAAGGTGTGAAAGTTGGCAGCATGCCTAGATGCTGGAATCTAATTGCCCAGGTTTGAGTAACACTCCATGTTTGCCTACTGGGTAATCTAGCTAACAATCTAGGCAGCAAGACAACAAGTGACTTGTCTAGAACTTCTGTTTCCACATACATAAAACAAGGAGAATAGAGCTGGGCTCCAGTGATCCTGCCTGTAATCCTAGCTACTCAGAGGTTGAGGTCTGCAGGTTGTGGTTCAAAGCCAGCCTAGGCAGGAAAAGTCTGTGAGACTCTTATCTCCAATTAACCACCAAAAAGCCAAAAGAGGAGCTATGGCTCAAGTGGTAGAATACTAATGTTGAGCAAAAAAACCCTCAAAGACAGCATCCATGCCTCAAGTTCAAGCCCCAGGATCGGCATAAAACAAATAAAACAAACAAGCAAATAGAAAACACGAGGATACCAGAAGTTACCTCATAAGCTGTCCTGAGGGAAAAAATGAATTTTAATGGTTAAAGTTGAGGATAGGACTGTCACATACATGCAAATATTAACTATCATTTAAACTAGCTTTTCCTGTCCAACACTTATACACTGATTTACACACAGATCATTTAATGGGTAAAAAAAGTCGAACTCTAATAGGGATGGGCTTAATTCTCATTTGAGCCACTACATTTGTTCTAACCTATCTGCTTACCTCCTTATCCACTTCTTGTGGCAGAATACCTCTAATTTTAGCAAAGAGCCTGAGGTTCTCTCTCACAGTAAGGAAGTCAAACTGCACATTGGACTGGGGACACACTCCCACCATCTGGAGGATGTTTTCCAGTTCAGCTGCGTCTGAGAGTTCCTTGTTGTAGATGGTCACAGAACCTGTCACAAAGGCCACATGTGCACATCAGCACCATGAGCGGATTAAACCCTTGTCAACCAAAATTGCCATTAGTTCTACTTTAGATAACTGGTTTTATCATCAAGGTTTAGGCAACTCGGGATTACAAATGGCTCATTTTCTGGTAAGGCATGCTGAGAAAGCTGCCCTCTTCGAGTTCCAATTGAAAGCATCATGTCTTGATAAACCCCTCACAGTTAGAGAGAGGACATTGTGACTCATCCTTTCTCTGCCAGGCTCAAAGAGACCACTGGGAGAAGACTCCCAGGCTAGCTCCCCCCCCCCCACCGGAAACAAAAGTCCATATGGGAATAGAGGTTCAGGTCTCCATACGAAAGCCTGGGATTTGTGGGTGGGGCCACGTGAGTTCCCCAAGCCCCAGTCACTTTCATCTAGAACAGAAAAAACTACCAACTCTCAGATTCATGGTGGGGGGGCGGGGAAGGAAATGTTTACGTTCTCCATCTGCCAATTAAACGTTACAAACTATTACAGCATGATACTATAAACTTCCACTTCTTTTTGCCATAGCATCTGTGTTTCTGGTTAATAATAAAAAGGGTTTTACACTGGCAGCTGATTTATTTGCCAATCTGACATTGGAAATAAAATAAATGAGCTCTTACCTTTGGTGGGAACAGACAGGCCGCTGAGCACATTCAACAGTGTTGATTTTCCAGCACCACTGTGACCAAGAATTGCGGTGATCTGACCTTCGTAGATGTCCAGTGCCAGGTCTGGGAGGCGAAAAGGAAAGAGGACAAGAGAAAACTAAGAGGGGAGAAAGGAAGGAAACGACACCGCAGATTCTATTTTGGAGCCAAAATAATTGTTACTCTCTTGAATACTTGTGTTCCTACATTTTGGATGTTCTGGGTTATTACTGTCAAAACAAAAATAACTTGTTTCCTTTTTTCTTTCTTTCTTTTTTTTTTCGTCAGTTATGGGGGCTGAACTCTGGGCCTGGGCGCTGTCCCTCAGTTCTTCAGCTCAAGGCTAGCACTCTACCACTTGAGCCACAGCACCACTTCTGGCTTTTTCTGCTTATGTGGTGCTGAGGAATCAAACCCAGGGCCTCATGCATGCAAGGCAAGCACTCTACCACTGAGCCACCTTCCTAGCCCCCCCCCCAAAAAAAAACAACTTAAAAAAAGTAAACTTGTCTTTCAAAATATCCTTTCTAGAAAATTTTAATGACGTGTTTTTTTCTTTTTTTGTGGCATTGGAGATCGAACTCAGGTCCTCTCCATCACCAGGTGGGAGCTTCAGTACTTGAGCCACACTTCTAAGTCTCTTTTTGTGCTGGTTATTCTCAAGGTAGGGTCTCACTTTATGCCTGGGCCACCATGGACGTCTACCCTCCTCCTTGTGTTTCCCTGAGTCACTGCAGAGAGAGGGTGCATGCCAGCGTACCCAGCCATCGGTGGTCTTCCCACAGGTAGGACAGCAGGTGCATGCTACCATGCTTAGCTATTGGTGGAGATGAACTCTCAGGACTGTTATGTCTGGGCAGTATTGAATCAGGATCCCCTGCAGCTCTACCTCAGAAGTAGTAGGAACACAAGTGTGAATCACTGTCTAATGACAAATGATTGAAACATGTTTCATACTATTGGACTCACTGACAATGCCTGGCATAGGACAGGTGGATATTAATATTTATGGAATATTTATTGGATGGGAGAATGGACCCATAATTAAGTATCATATAAATATAACTATATATCGGACACATATCACATATATACACAAACATATTATCTATAACATAATATATAACATAGAATGTATATAGATATAGAATAAAAACCTTTTTTTTTTTTGTCGATCATGGGTCCTGAACTCTAGGCCTGAGTGCTGTCCCTCAGCTCTTCAGCTGAAGTCTAGCACTCTACCACTTGAGCCATAGCACCACTTCCAGCTTTTTCTGCTTATGATGCTGAGGAAGTGAACTCAGGGCCTCATGTGTGCAAGGCAAGTTTTAAGGAAAAAAAGCCCTGGACATCTTTAAGCTGCATTAGTATTAACACAGAATCAATTTTAAGTACATCTAATTCTCAGTGAGGTTTTTTTGTCGGGTGGGGGGTGAGGGGGTGGGCGGGCTGTTGTTTTTGGTCAGCACTGGGATTTTTAACTCAGGACCTCAAGCTTATTATGGCTAAAGTGCTCTGTGTCTTAAGCCACAACTACAGCTCTATTTTTCCTTAGTTATTTTTTTCAGATAGAGCCTTACATTTCTGTTGGGGACTTGCCTTGGACCTTGAACTATGTCTTCTGCATAGCTGTGACTACAGGCATGACCCAGCATGTCTATCTTGTTTTCTGGAGTCTTGGTAACATTTTTTTACTCATGCTGGCTTGTAAGCATGATCCTCTCAATCTTTAACTCTGATGTAACTGGGATTATAGTTGTGTACTACTTCATCTGGCCTTAAAAACTCTTTTTTTCCCTTCTAATTTTCACAAAGTAGAAGTGCTGAAAGGGAACTTATCATGTGACTCAAATAAGTTTTCAAATCTGCTCCTAAAAATGAAACTAGATTGAATTTAAGTCAGAAAGTTAATATCCACCTATTAATTGCTTTTTTTTAACCTTTCAAAGCTTATCAATGTATTAATTGCATTTTTTTTTACCTTTCAAGGCTTCTATTTTATCAGGTTTTCCTTTATATTCTTTGGTAACATTTCTGATTCTGGAAAAAAAGAAAAAAAAAGAAAAACTATTTCAGGGGGACTTTTCTGCAGTGTGTAATTCCAGTTTGGTCGGCAGAATTGGATGAATCTGAGTCTTCACTCTCAAGCTGTCATGTGACAAACTCAGCTGGAATCCTGCCTCCTCTCCCTGGCCACACATCAGCTTGAAAACATTGTACCTAGGCAGCAGAATGTTTTGATTCCATAGATTGGGACCATAAAGCTACAGAAGCCAGACCAGGAGATGACCCGGGCATCTAATGCTATAAGGATTATCTGAACCAGTGGGGCAGGTTGGGGAAACTTTGGTTATTTTAGCTTAGGTTTCCAGAGGTTTGTTCAGACAGAGGAAGAAGTAAGGAAGAAAGGCCATGAACCATACTAATTGACTGTAAGTATTTCAATGACCAACCCTACTGAGTTTGTCCTCTATCTACCACTTGGTTTCTCCATTAATCTTAACCAATGTATTTCTTCTATGCAAGTTTCTGTTTTCACAACCTGAAATGTATAATGTGTTGGAGGGTTAAGTGGAATATTTCATCATGGATGTGAAGTGCTTGGTTTCTAGTGAACATCCAACGAGCACATGATGACGTTGGTTAAATGATGAGAAAAGCAATAAAATAGAATGGAGCTGACACCTGCCTTATGCTACCATAGATCCGGAACCCTACACACTTGATCTGTATGGTGTTATTCTACCAGGTAAATAGAATCCATATGGTAAATCAAATTTATACATTTTGTCATCAAAGAATACTTTAGACACAAATCTACTTAATTAGGCTTTCTCATTTCTATTTTGATCCCATTTAAGTGTCATTTTATAATTGGATAGAGTGCTGGAAAGATCAATCAGAAAAACAAGGAACATGGGGAGAGAGAGGGAGAGAGGGAGAAAAGGAGAGAGGGAGAGGGAGAGGAAGAGGGAGAGAAAGAGAGAGAGACAGAGAGAGCAAGAGCGAGAGACAGCACAAAAAGGCCACTGCTTTGCTCTAAACTGCTCAGCTGGAGATAAACTTTGCTAGTGAGGCAAATAAAGAATAGGAAAATGAGGTGCTGTTGGTGGCTCACACCTGTAATCCTAGGCTCCAATCAGTACTGGAAAGAAAGTCCTTGAGATTCTTATCTCCAATTAACCACAAAAGGCTTGAAGTGGAGTTGCAGCTCAAGTGTTACATGGTAGCCTTAAGACATAAAAGCTTAGGGACAGTTCACAGGCCCTGATGAGTTCAAGCCCCAGGACCAACACACACACACACACACACACACACACACACACACACACACACACACACACACACACACACAAAATTTGGACCAAAATAAGATGAAAAATGAAATCAGCTGTAGAAGTTGCTGCTCACAGGGGACTGACATGTGTTAACAATGATGGTCCTTGAAGACTTGAAGATTTCCTTCCTATTTTCTTATTTGGAGAGAAGAATTCCCAAAAGGAGGATATGCTTAGCTTCCTGAACCCCATTTGTGATTATCTCTTGACCTTCTCTCCCTTTCTCCTCCCTACCATTATCTTCTTCTAAGAGACAAAAGGAGAAAAGGAAAGAGAAGTTTAAAAACATAGAAGAAAAGGTGATAATAACTAAACAGGGACAAAGCATGAAAGAATGAAGAAAGGAGGGAAGTTAAGAATGGAGGAAGAAACAAGAGGTGAAAGATGAGAAGGGTCTTTGTTGGTTATTTCTTGTGAATGTCATCAGCATAACCCTTCAAGGATTTTACTTTACCATAAGCTGGGAAATGCTGGATATAGCACAAAGCTAGATACAATTATCTACATAGCCCAACAAAAACGCCACTTGCCTCAAGTACTATTAAATCCCTAAGCATGGCTTAGTCTTCCCATACATCTTCCTTACCTGATGCCCTCTTTCCCATGGAATTCTGGAGACACTGGTTCAAAAGAGTCATTCAGTGAGGAATCAGAATCTACCACATTGTCCAGTGTCATGTGTTCAGGCTTTTGTTCTGGTGACCAAAATGAGGACTTCAGGAAAAACAAGGGTGGATATCGATGTCCATATTCATCTACAAGACCAGAAGACAAACATTTGGTCAATCACCGTTTTCTGTGAGACTCACTCCCATGAATGTTGCTTGGCAACACATCCTCTTTGTGGCTAAACCTGAACATAGGATCTGCACACACTATCTTGCTGACATGTACAGCTACATAAAGAAAACCATCACTAAGATAGCTCCTTGCTAATAATTACTTCCGTAGGAAGCAATAAAATCATTCTTGAAATTTTTTTCCGGAGGGAATTTCAACAAATACTGGACTTGAAAATGCAAAGATATGTGACAGCTGCTGAATTTTGTCTAGGAGACCAGTTGTCATTATATTAAGCAAAGGAAGGAAGCTGGGTGCCAGTGGCCCATACCTATAATCCTAGCTACTCAGGAGGCTGAGATCTAAGGATTGTGGTTCAAGGCTAGCCCAGGCAGGAAAGTCCATGAGATTCTTATCTCTAATAAACTATCCCCCCAAAGCCAGAAGTGGCTCAAGTGGTAGAGTGCCAAACCTGAGAAAAAATAAAAGAAATTCAAGGACAGCACCCAAGCCTTGAGTTTAAGCCCCAGAGCTGGCACGCGCACACACCCGCATGCGTGCACACACACACACACACACACACACACACGAAGGAGATATTGTTTGATATAGAAAACAAAATTTTAAAGAGTAGATTGAGTAGTACTTAAGAAAATAAATGACACACTTGTAAGAAAGTGGGAGTGTGCCTCTTTCTGTCTCCCTCTCTCGCTCACTGTCACACACATACAATACAAAACAAAAAAGTCACAAAGCTAAAAATGTAACATTATTCCGTAGAGCTTCATAAAACATTTATAACAGTGCCATTAAAATAAATTTAAAAAAAGACTTAAGATAAAATTAACAGCAGAAAACACACAAAATAAAAGGTAAATTGATTAGGCAACGTGATTTCTAAGAAGATACCATTATGCCATTGCAAGTATGGTGACATGTGTCTGTGGATGCACTGCTCACAAACACATTGCACATGCAAAGGCATACAGCATAAAATGGAAGCCTGGTATTTGAAAAAGTTGAAGAAAACAGGAAGGGTTTGTAATTACAAGGGTCACATTGGCAATGTTCCTAAAATAACAAGAAATGAACCCAGTTTGCCAACCCTTTGTGGTGTACACAAAAGTCACAGCAATTTTGTCATAAAAATCAAAGCCAGAGAGGAAAACAGTATTTAAATATAGTAGTAAGGGACAAGAATATGTGTAAGCAATGTTTTTTCTGTGGGTCACAATTTTTTATCCCTGGTACCAAACAAATGACAGCATAAGGTAACTATTGAAATGACTCTGTATAAAAACCTATCAGCCCCCAATTTTAGAACATGACATCTCTTATTCTAAAAATCAGAAACAAGGTCATTCTTAAGAGATTATCTAAATATCACAATTAATTCACGGCTTCCCAAGCTGATTCTCTTCTGACTGCCCTTTTTTCCATCTGTCTTTTCTGTGTGTAGATTTTTGTTTACTAAGGAAGGGGCTCCTTGAGGTTCTGTCTTGAATGGGAAATGCAGTGGGAAAAGATGTAGTCCATCCTTGCCTTTGATTTTACAAGGAGGAGAGATAATGTCAACATGTTCAGGACATTGCTACAATTGACTTAATGCCGTATTTTTCCTGAGGAGGAATCTGTGGTTATAGTGCAGTCATCTCTTTATAGACACTTAGGTTGGTTCAATTATCTTGGATGGTGTGAACAGTGCTGCAATCTCTCTGGCATGCTGATACCTTATTTTCTAAATTATATTTTATTATCTCTCAGTAGTTGTACAAAGGAGCTGGCATACTGATTGCCTTTCCATTGAATAGGTGCCAAACAGTGAGATTTCATGCGACAATTCTCTTTGTAATGTTTCAAGCAACCTCCAAACTGTCTTCCATAATAACCGTATACCTACCCCAAAACTGTTTGAATGAAATGGGAGGCCACCATGTCCAGTGAATAGGCCAAGCATAAAAAGATAATTACAGTCATGCATACTCATCTCCTAGAATTGATAAGTCGCATCTGAATCTCCCTTGGGTGAGAGCTAAGCTTCTTATTCCTTTCAGTCTCTCTGTGTGGTTCTTGATGTATAGGCAGGACTCAGAATTAGCACACTAACTAGTTATACATAAGCTGCTATACGTTTTGGTGATTACCAGATCCACGTAGGAACAAGCTGCCCAAACCTCCCCTTGACAACACGAAGCCATATCTCAGAAAAGAGTGAGTTCAAACACCAGCCAGTGATACGATGCACATAAGCTTTAATTCTATTTCTTTTTTTGTTTGTCACTTGTGGGGCTTGAACTCAGGGTCTGGGTGCGGTCCCTGAGCTTCTTTTGCTCAAGGTTAGTGCTCTACCACTTTGAGTCACAGTGCCACTTCCAGTTTTCTGGTGGCTAAATGGAGACAAGATTCTCATGGATTTTCCTGCCTGGGCTGGTTTTGAACCAAGATGTTCATATCTTAGCCTCCTGAGAAGCTAGGATTATAGGTGTGAACCACTGGCACCCAGGTTGGCTTCAATTCTTAACAGCCAAATGGCAAAGGAATGGGAGGGGTGACATTAATCAAGATTCATCAAGCACATAAATGAATGTGTTGAATTGAAACCCCTTCATACCACTATCTAAAGAATATTAAAAAATAAATTTTGAATAAAATAATAAAAGAATACTAATTTGGCTAATATATCCATTATCCATTTCCTTCCTGTTGATACTCAAAGTGGTTTTTTTAACTATATAAATAATCATTCATTGTTAAGAGATTTGTGTCAGAAAATAAAGCTAATAAAATGATATTGTACTTTAATTAACAGACTACTCACTTGGCAAAATCTTCTCAAAGTACATTGTCAATGCCAGGTAGAGGAATGTATCAAATGCCAGCATGAAGTTTGTGGCTATGATGAGATTTGAGCTGCTTGGGTCAGGAGATGCATTAGAATTCAAATCATAATCCAAGTGTAACATCTGAGGATTAAAAATATATTAATGGAACTTAGATTTATGATCAAATTTAAGCCAAATCTAGCACAGGAGTAAAATAGCTACTTACTATCTCATGCTAGGAATAGAAAGTTAAATAAGGAGATTGTCTTTTGAAAAGTATGGACATATGAGCAACTATCATGTAACTTAATAGTTGTCATAATTTTAAAATACCCACATTCTAAGTGACTTGGAACATTCAGAGGAGATAGGGTAAACACGGCAAAGGTATTTGAACCTAAACTTAGACTTTTTCAATAGAACTTAGTCAAAACATAATATTATCTGACAGTCATACACAAAGGGGAGTTTTCACTATGGGGAGAAAAAAAGAACCATTGGTGAGTTTTACAAAGAGCCAATGGGTAAATGTTCAAGTCAATAAGTGCTTCATAATCAACAATTCTTCATAATCAACAATGTCTTAACTACTGCTATTTAATGATTGGCATTACCCTTTAATTGGATGTAAGGCAAGTTGAGTCCAATAAAAATCAAATAATCAGGAATATGATTTTAAGGTGAAAAAAATGAACATTGTCTATTGCAAATGCTTTCTGAAAGGCTTATTTTTCTGGGCTAAATATACTTCCCAAGCGTTCAAAAGTTCATCCTTGTAAATTTAGAGTCCACATGTGGGCTTAAAATCTCCCAACCTGGAGCGTGAATGTGATGGTAGACTGTTGAATTCCAGAGGAAAACAACATTGGTGATAAACAATTAGATGGAGTCTCACCTGGGACATCCCAAGCATGAAGGCGAAGGGACTAAAAATGCTTAGAATCCACTCCAAGGATACAGGAAGGTATCTGTATAATGCGGTGAACCCCAAGCTCCCCCAAAAGATGGTGAGAAGGAACACAAGCTGGCCGGTGAGGAAAGACTTCTTTACCAAGACGCTCATCAAGAAAGCCAGCGCTATCTACAATGAGAGAAGACCCTGTCATGATTTTTTCTGAATCATTAGTAACACATTTGAGGGGATCTGATAAACAATTATAGTTACATTATTTACCATGAATATGCAAAGTTTTTAATTGTAAGTGGTACCAAAAATTGGCATTACAAAATACTATACATCAAATAGCACTTGTCTATAGACTTTTCACGCAAATAGACCAGATAAGAAACAAATATGCAGAGTAATGACTTCATTGGAAGCCAAGCTAGCAACTTGATTTTATGATACAAGAATAGAAACTAAGGTTTCATACATGCTAGGCAAGTGATCTATTGTTTAGATCATTCCTCGTGCCCTTTTGTTTTGTTTATTTCTAAGGTAGGGAATCGACTAACTTTGCCTGTGTTGGCCTTGAGCTCTAAATTCTCGTGCCTTTACTTCTGAGGAGCTATGCCACCAGGCTGGGCTCCCAACACTTGATTCTTCAGATAAGAGTTAGACAGGGAGAGATTTAATTTATTAACTCACCGTGGACAATCCATAAAGAAGAAAGAGGGTGAAGACTATCATGAAGTCGGTCATGACAAAAAACTGGATAGATTTGATCACAAGTGCCAAGCAAAGGGCCATAATGAAGATGAAACCGGCATAGAGCAAACCCCAGGACAGCCTGATGTGTAAACAAAATACTATTTTAGAATTTCATGTGCAGCTGAACAGGAGACCTGCAATCCCGTCGAACGTCTCTATTTGTTCATTGCTTTATTCATTCATTCACGGCCCCATTCAGCAGGAATTTATTGAGTGTTCTACCGTAAGCAAAATTCTGTGAAAATTCTGGGCAGCATTTGTTGCAAATTATAAGTTTTCTTTTTCTTATCATATGTTTCAGAAACCCACACACCTGTGCAGGTGCAGACACACATGAGTCAAGGTGAACAAAGGAATATTAGGTTTCCCATCTCATCTTTCTCTGGCTATATATATATATATCAAATAGTCTTACTTGCTTTTGATTCTACACATCTCCTATTAAGATAGACTTTTTAAAAAAATCCCATTTCTTTTGTTTGAGAAGAATTTTCCTTTGCTCATCAATTTTTTATCTGTTTTACAAAATTTGTAGAAAGGCATAAACAAACAATGATCATTTAACAATAAGAAACCAAACTGCTATGAACCCCCACATTAACATATAACACATAAAGCAGTTATTATGTCTTGGATAATGTTTGAAGGACTTAGTAACTATGAAGTCATCCGGCTTTTCACCCAACCTCTATGACAATTTCTTATTTGACTCATTTTCTTTCCAGAGACCCTAGTGAACAAGTATCTTAAGTAACTATGTTTCACATCTCGATGTTTTGCTCAAGAGTTTCTAGATTTCACTGCTTGGCTATATTTTCCTTTGATATTAATTCAGTCAATACTGATTTCTAGGATTTTAGTGCTGGAAGAAACTCTAAGTCCTAACTTGTAGCCACAGGCATCATCCATTAGGCCCTGGGTCTCCCTTTCTCCCTCTACACATCACTTCCTGACTCTTTCCCAAGTTCTCACACAGAACTTTTTCCATTCATACTCCTACTTTTTAGTCCCAAAGGAACTCCTCATCCTTGAGCTCTTTTGTTCCATTCAATTATGTCCTGGCCACAATTCTATCTAGCTGAGACATCATTGTGTAACTTTCCTACCATTCACTCCAACTCCTAACTCATTCACCTAACCCAGTGCTCTTTCTTTTAGAACCACAGCAACATCCAACCCCAGCCTGGCAAGTGTTACACCAGGGACAACACATTCCATTCAGAGGGATAATGGAGAGAGGCTAGAAAGTAATTCGATACTTTGAAGATGTCTGCTTGTCCTTTTTTTTTTTTTCATTAATCAATTTCTCTATCCTACATGTGACTCACCAGAAGGCCAAATCTCGAAGGCCCATCATTTTCATCAAACCCTTCATCTTTTTCCTCTCTCTTGTAACATTGGCAGATGCATAATAACTGAATGGGGAGAAGGCAATAATGCAGAAGAGGATGAAGAAGTCAGTTGTAACTCCTCCTTGACCGATGAAGGGATGTACCACCATGAGCTTCCCAGTGACTGACATCAGTTCCTCCATCACAGAATGATTGGTTGTGACCTGAAGGAAAGTAGTAAACAAAATTGGTGCATCAATGAAGGGCATGCTCTATTTTTTTTTTAAATTGTTCTTGTTTAAACCATCCCCTTTCCTAAGAATGAGTAGCTAGCCTGTGAGCATCTGATGCTCTCCTAAATTCCTACATCTGACATCTTTGAGCTGTCCACAGGTTGTTGAGTTTCCTATGTGTTTTATTAGTTGACACCCTTTATTTGCATTACTTTATTTGATTGAAATGCCTTTTCCAACCTTATATATATTGGATTCTATAACTCCAGGTTTGAGTCAAGGTTTTTTATAGGGTCTGAGCAAGGAGACAGGGGTTACATGTGTTTAGTATGGGGCAGGGGTGTCTATAGACATGGGCAGAGAATAGGGTAAATATTCCCTCATCCAAGGTCTTATGTTTTTAAATATTCAAACAGCTCTACATCTGTCTTGCCCAGAAGGTTTGACCTTCACAAGATACAGCTTTTAGTCTTCTAACCTCTTAACTCTTTTCTGGCTTACAGCTTGGCCTCAGAGCCTTATGGGCTAGGTTTACCATGGAATATTTAGTCAGGCTCAGGTCGGATTGTCCTGCCTGTGTCAGGCTGTCGGTGCATAGCTTTGATGGCTTGCTCCATGTCTGTATGTATCTGGGAAAACAGGGAGAGGGCCAATCTTTCACTTCTAACAATAAAAAAAATTTATATACTAAGTATATATTTGTATACTTAGATTCCTGACACAGATTGGTTCAAGTAAGTGCCAGGTTTTCTTCTTAGAATATTTATCTCCTCATGACATTTAGCATCCTCAGTAAACTTTGACATAAAGACATGAATGAGTGAATGCAAGAACAAGCCCATTCATTTGTATTTTCTCCCATGAAACATTTAGTGCCTTGAATAGCATTAATTTGCCTTGAACATTAGTTTTCACTGAACATTTTGTACTCACTTCAATAATAGCAGCATTAATGGCAGCTTGAAGAGCCACAAAACCTTCCTTCCAGAATATTGAAAGTTGGCAGTCAATATCTTCATCTATTTCGACACAATGAGCTTTGTGGAAAGAAATAGAAGCCATAACTTTCACTGAGTTATTTCCTTCCTCATAATAGGAAATGGCTTTCACAAATGTGAGAAGAGTATCATTGAAAATGTTTTTAGAACCTATTATGAATTGTGAAATACTGAACTAAAGCTTTGTTCTAACATGAGATACAACACAGAAACATAATAGACAAATATGAAAGTTTGAATAAGATAAAATTATCCTTCAGTCATGTTGATCAGAATGTACTTCAATGACAAAGATTTTGAAGACAAAGTTTGTTGAAGTTTTAACTGCCTTAAAGTGATGTTCTTCAGTAAGATGAAATGAATACAGGTATGAATGCACAGTGTGTTAAGACTTCTCAAAAATATTATGAACTTATTCAAATGATACAAAATAATGTAAAATATAAAATGTAATACATATAAAACATAAAATAAGATACAGTGATGTGTTTGCCCTAGTACCTGGCTCCAACCAGCTAATGAGTTTCCTAGGCTTTGTGTTTATATGTTTTTAAGCTCTCACTATGTTTTCAACTCCATATTATTTAACGTTTTGATTGATTTAACATTTTGACTTAACAGTTCATATTTTCAGTTTTACTGAAAAGGAATGTACTCTGCTTGATTGACTCTCATTACAGAATCTTGACTGTGTGATGGAGAATAAGTTTGTATTCGGAGATATTCTATCTTTGTTTCCTGTGTGGAAGATTGCTCTTTTTAGAGATGCTACTCTTTTTATAGTTACCTTAGTGCTGGACCAGCTAAGGACCACTTTATTTGAATTTACAATTAGGATAACATCATAAAGAACTACAATCCCAGGAGATGGTGAACTCAGAGCTATAATTTCTTACATTCATTCTTACATACACATATACATACATACATACATTCTTATATTATACATGTATATATATTCTTACATACATGATATTTCTTCATTCAGAACCCAAAAGAAGACAGGTGAGCTCCTTTTCCTTCTTTCTCATATAAAGGGCTTTTTAGTTTGTATTCTTGCTAAATATATCAAATCTCCAGACTCCAAATTGACATAGGAAACTCAAGTATGTCTCTGACCTAAGGTCTTACCTGTTCCTATGCATACATGCATGTATGTAAATGCACACATAAATAATAAGAAACTGTCCCTCTATGTCCATATAACAATATATAGAACACATACGTATAGCTAAAAAATGAACATCCACTCTCACAAGGGTTGTCTAGTTTGACATGCTAACAGCTATCCCCATGAATGGCTCAAAACATAAATTGCGAATGATGGAGTTATATCCTTGAAAAGTTACCTGTGTGGTCTCTGTGTTCTTTCTTTTCTGGGATTCTTTTCCCTAACACGAATTTCAGATGATAGGAGTATGTATCAGTAAAAATGACTCTTGCTATTTCCTCATGGTAATTTGCTGTTACTTCTTTAATACTCTCTTCATCAGACATTCCAAAAACTTCTCTGCCTGCCATTAACAGAAGGGAATATTATTTTCTTGTTTTTTAATATATATTTATATTGTAAAGATACTGTATAGCTGGGCGCCGGTGGCTCATGCCTGTAATCCTAACTACTCAGGAGGCTGAGATCTGAGGATCATGGTTCAAAGCCAGCCCAGGCAAGAAAGTCTGTGAAACTCTTATCTCCAATAAACCACCAGAAAATGGGAAGTGGCGCTGTAGCTCAAGTGGTAGAGCACTTGCCTTGAGCTGAAGAGCTGAGGGACAGCGCTTAGGCCCAGAGTTCAAGCCCCACAACTGACAAAAAAAAAAGATACTTTACAGAGGGGTTACAGTTACATGAGTAAGGTAATGAGTACATTTCCTATTGAGCATTGTTTTTCCCTTACCATCCTTCCTTCTCCACCTCTCCAACTTCCCTCCTCATAGCAGTATTTTTAAAGCAAGATAATCTCTGTGTGGGTTTTAAAAATCTTCTCCGTAGCCAGGTGCTGGTGACTCACGCCTATAATCCTAGCTATTGAGAAAGTTGAAATCTGAGGATCGCCATTCAAAGTGAACCTTGGCAGGAAAGTCTGTAAGACTCTTATTACAGAAGTGGTACTGTGGCTCAAATGGAAGAGTGCTAACCTTGAGCAAAAGGAGCTCAAGGACAGCGCTCTGGCCCCAGGACCAGCAATAATAATACAAATAAAAATAAAGTGAAAATCTAATTTGTGATCCCAGGCTGACTTCTTTGGGAGAAGGGAATATTATTATAAATATCTTACTGGAAGATGCAACCTCAAGATGCCAGGTTCAATTGCTTTCACTACAGTTCTTTGTGAAAGTAAAATGAAACCAAGGGCTGGCTTCTAGCAAGTCAGGGAATCCCCAAGTTTGGGAGAGATCCAGGCACAGCCAGAAGAAACAAATTAACATATGTAGTCCAAAGGAACCAAATTTGGTCACTATATATTTCTCTTGCATTGTTAGGGGACTCACCTGTCATGAAAGAGGTAGAGGCAACTTTCTTCATGATCTGTTGGGTTGTATTGGTAAGAGGAGTGTAGGCAATTGTAAATCTGGGTCCACTAAATGAATCTACTCTTCCCAAGTCCATAGAATTCAGGGAAGAAAAATCATTAACTTGATGATCGTTAGGATATATGTACAACAAAAGCAGGAGGAGGAAAGCATTCATCCATTCCTACACAAATCCAGGAAAAAGAATAGTCATGATTTCAAAGCATTCATCCACAATCTCTTTGACCTAGTTGGTCAAGGAGTTTGTCTCTTTGTAAAAACTTCAACATGTTCCCCACTTTGGAACCATTTCAAATAGGTAGAGTACAAATTCAGTGCTCATGAGCTGTTAATAAGAATTCAAATGAACTGAATTCCAGGACTAAAACTAAAGCCTGTACTGACCTGAGAACATATGAAATGCAACCAGGCAAAGTGTAAATCATTGTCAGTAATATTACTTTGGTCACCTACTCTAGGCAGGAGGATCATGAGTTTGAGGCCAACCTGCGCCACAAACCAAATCAAAGCAAAACAAAGAGAACAAAACATTACTCAGATATACCCATCTGGTTAAAAACCAAGAGATACCAAAGATCAAACAGGCTTTGTGTTACATGGTAAGGCTATCAGTTAATGATAACTTTCTTCTTGGCACTGAATACATCTACAACCTTTGCTACTATTTTTGAGGATCATGAATTATTTTTAACAAGAAACTCAAAAGAGAAAGATGCTGGCTACTTGTTTCTGTGGTTTATTTGTCATATCTTTAGAATATCCATATCTTAACCTTCCTTGTGAGTTTGGAGCACTTGTAAAAGTAAGACCACTGGTTTTCCAAACACTCATTGAATTCTTAATTTCTTACCAGTTTCAGTGCTTTTAACAGATTCGTGGTTGGATACTGTATCATACTGTTACACAAGGGTGTGTCATTTATTTATCCACTTCTTTTCTGTGTATGCATCATACCAAAACAGCCTATGTACTGCACAATAACAGAAATATCAAGTGGCATCAATAGCAAGTCATACCATTAATGTTTCTCTTTTCATTCTCCATTTTTTAAGGATGTTCTTGTGTAACAATGCCCACGTTTGCTGACACACCTGTATCTCTCTGTTGCCCATTTTATCCTGTCTAGTGAGAAAGAACAGAAAACATAGTAAATGCCAAGTTCTTTCCAAGTGCAAATATCCCATGAATGAGAAGAAAATATTGAATGCTGATCACTTCAATATTCAAAACCAATGCTTAGAGTCTGGGAGTTTCCAAGTTTGCATTTTATTACACCCAGGCCATCCTCTCCTCAAGATCAGACTATACTCCATCATTTATCTGCCAGTTACTGACTTAACTGTCTTTTAGTTGTGCAGTCTGCTCTACGAAAATAGGCTTAGCTCTTTACACTTTTTTCTTTTGCTAGCTAGCATTACCTTAAACTTTTCCAGTAATGTACATCTCTTAGTGTTTTATGTTGCTGTTAGAAATACTTAAAGCTGGTTGCTTTAAAAGTAAAGAGGATTTCTTTTTCTTTTGTCAGTCATGGGGCTTGAACTCTAGACCTGGGCACTGTCCCTGAGCATTTCAGCTCAAGGCGAGCACTTTACCATTTGAGCCACAGTGCCACTTCTGGCTTTCTGGTTAATTGGAGGTAAGAGTCTCATGGACTTTCCTTGCGCAGGCTGGCTTGGAACCAAAATCCTCAGATCTCAGCCTCCTGAGTAGCTAGGATTATAGGCATGAGCCACCAATGCCTGGCTATTAAAAAGGATTCTTTAGGCTCACATTGTTCACCTATCTTTATCTGTCCCTCTAAGCTTTGTAAGCTGTGGTTGACTTCTAAAAGGTTTTGTGTGATACAAGAAAAATCCTTAATTGCTTTAATGCTTAAAAATCTGATAGAAAATCTATATTTTACGATGTGAATTAAATCCTGAGTGAATTTTCACAATTGGCCCCACAAGTTTTATTCTCACACTAAACTGCTTTTAATCTGATTCTAGTTTTGTCTCAATTTTTACTTTATTGCATATATTCTTTCAGTTCTTACTGAACCAATAAATATTTCTTCCCTTCCTCTGTTTCCTCTCCTCTCCCAAAGATATATAAGGCATACTTACTCCTTTAATGGTTACTCTTACATTTTAGACTTTTCCCAAAAGTCTAAAAACTCCCCTGGAAACTTTGAGATATAAGTACTCTCAAAAATGTCTTTCCTGTGGGAGGAAATTGGATGTCTAAGCTGAATTAGAAGAAGGAAGTTAAGAGATTCTGGAATGCTCATTGTGTTTATTATTTATTCATTTGTTGTTTATTCTATCGTTATTATTTATTTATTGTTATACTGGACCAGAGAGGTTACTGTTTCACAAGGCAGGTAATGTGTACATTTCTTTTTTGGACAATATCACCCCTTCCTTTGGCCTTGCCCAGTTCCCCCCCTCACGTTATATAGTTCATTTTCAATGTAGTGTCTAGTGAGTACCCCTGATGCATTTGTTCACCCTTTGTCCGTCGATTTTGTTCCAGCCTCTCCTCCAGAAAAGATAAAAAAATTTAAAAAACAATACAACCCCCCCCTACAACAACCCAAGAATAAACAAACCCAGAAAACCCCCAAAGCAAAAGCAGGCAAGACCATGTCCACTAACCGCCTTGGGTTTTTGAGAACCATCCCATCCAAGAGAGTCTCTTCCCTTGAGAAACCCTACGATTGCCTTTCACCTGTCCATAGTGAGCCCGAGTGGGCAGGTCCCCACCTGAAGCCCTCGGTCCCCATTCATGGGACAGGATCCTGTTCAGGGCACAACGATTTCATACAGTCTAAGCTCAGGCAAGGAGGCCAGAGGCCAGTTGCAATGAAAGACACACCAACGGGCAAGCTGAGAGGTATTGCAGAACTGCTACATGTGACTGTGTAGTGAAGCTGAGCAGAGAGAGAAACAAGGAAGCCCAGGGAAAGACAATTCCAGGAAGGCAATAGCGTTAGGTCAGTGTTGAGTGAGGAATGTCTGTGGAACCCTGTAAGTCATTAGTGCAGAGAATTCAGTGTGGGCAATTTTAAGGGGCCAGTGCAGGGTTGTGGAAGAGGGTGAACTGGCCAAGACAGAGATCTCTTCAGTTTAGCATCAGCTACAGCTCAATGGGAATCCAGTCCCTTACACTATTTTTTCCACTTGTAAAGGAATATGATTACTTTGTCTCTCCTCAAATGCTGCACATTCTGTACTTTGTAAAAAAATACATATAATCCTAATGACAGGAATTTCTTGTTATACATATGGCAAATAGCTTACAAGTTAGAATGATTGAAGGTTTTCCTCTCATACTGTTGTCAAATTCCAAACTAAATTCTTACACTCTAAAAGCATAAAACTTCTGCTTACCACAAATAATATGTATCTGAGATACCGTTGTGATAAGAGGAAGGGACATAGTCCACATTCTAGTTCAAACTCAAGGTCTCCAAATAGGGTGTGTGGGGAGGGGGGGCGGAGGAGATCTCACAGAAAATATCTTTTTCACTAAAATTCCTAAATCCCCAGAGTAATAGGAAGGGATGATAAAAATATTTCTGTAAAGGTCATTGGTAAACACTGTTAAAATTAGAAAAACAGCTATCCCCAAATGCCTTGAAATTACTCTGAAATAGAAATAAATAATGACTGCTTCAAAACCATCACAGGCTTACAAATCCATTCACAAGATTCTAAGCTCTTCTATAATCAAATTGGTAACCAATTTGGGCTTATTTCTACATTCATTCTCTCTCTTCACATGGTATAGTGATTGCAAAGTTCTCAAAAACTTTTAACTCAATGTTTTTATATGCATACTATTAAACAGCAGATACCAAAACACTTCAAACTGGCCTAGTGATTTTCAAAGTAATTTCAGCACAGATCTTTAGAATTTAGCTCATAAAATTTTATCATGTGGTTATAAGAAAAATATAAAGAAAGTAATCCAGGTCAAAAAGCAACAGCAACAATAACAGAAAGCAAACACCATCGCATAACAGAAAAAAAACAAAACAAAACACTAAAACCAACCAAATACAAGGAACTTACTTTTGAGAAATTTGAAGCAAGGAATCTAGAGACAGTTTGTCCTCTGGTCTCTGTGTTTAGAAGACAATAGCTTTTTAATTTTTTTCCTGGTGTCTATTACATCTCTAGAATTTGCATTAACCATTTGACTTCTGTGAACCGATCCTGTGAAGTCTGCTTTCAGAAGGAGCTTATGATCTCAGTTCTGTTCCTTCTGCCAAATACCATGCTCACGTGACCATTCTTGGACTGTTTGTCTTTTCATTGCTATTCAGCCAGGCCTTTCAGAGAGCAGCCGCATTTATGGTTGGTGTCCAGGTTCTGTCATAGTATGAAGTTGCACTCTTACAGAGAAAATGCAATATTGATCAGCATTCTCTCCCTATAGCTTCCAGAAGCTCTTCTCTCTAGCAAGATGACCGCTGCTGTAAGCTAATGTGGCTTAAAGCATGCTCTTTAAAAACACAAGAAGGTAAACAGCATAACCAGAGAAAATTTTGTTTCACTGACAACTCTTAGATGTTTATTCCTGTTTCCAGTTTCACTTGTATGCAGTCCCAACTATTTTCTCATTTCCCTTGACATTTATTTTTTGACCCCTGTCTTATTTAGCAGTATCTTGCTTAATTTCCAAATGTCTGGTTTTTGTTTTTCTTTTTGGTTATTGATTTTTTTAGCTTAATTCTATTGTAGTCTGAAACATTTTGTCTGATATATGGGTAAGGCTTGTCACAGGATAGGGTATATATTAGTGAATATTCCATATGCACTGGAAAAGATGTATATTTTACTGTAGTTTCTTTTGCACAGGTACATTACAATCAGGCCAACATCCACATTGGGCTCTAAAGAGAGTTGTGATGAGTTTGAAGTCAAGTACTTGTACATTCCTAAGGTTGATCTTTTACCAAAGACATCGATAGCAGAAGATCTGATTAATTGCATTTTTGTAGTTTTAAGTTAGATCAGTACTGTCTTCAAAGACATAAAATCACCTCCAAGATTCTTTAAAGTATTGTATTTATTTGTTTATTTTTGCAGTTACAGGAACTTTTTTTT